AACAAAAGGCAAAAACCAACAAAAAATACAAACCCAATTGTAAAAAAAAATTTATTTATTATTACATATTAATAAAAAAGATGAATTCAAAAATTATACAGTAATATTAAAGCAGTACATAAGCAACAAACAATTAATTATGAAATAAACAAAAGAAATGTAATCGATACTTTTTTGGCATTACTTGCTAATAAATTAAATTTAAAATTTAAAATTTAAAATAACAAAAAACGATTAATTAAGGAAACTGGAGAACTTGTAATAAAACAACACAAGAAAACATAAATAAACAGCCATAAAAGTCACATTTCAAAGCCATACTTACACGAATACACAAAATACAAAAAAAAATAAATATGAGAGAAAAATATGAAGAACAAGTAAAAAGAGGAGAAAAAAAACTAAACATGTTTGTATGTAAAAGAAAAAAACCAAAAACAAAAAACACAGTGTTAGAGCATCTTGAATTATATATAATAAATAAAAAATAACAAAAAAATATGGCGGTGTTTCCTTTAGTAAACTTGTTGCTCCTTTTTCATTTTGATTGCCGCTGTAAGCCCCATGCGATTATAACCGACTCCAATCGAGCACGCCAGTCATTTTTGTTCAGTGCCGATTTGAATTGCCAAGTGGGGTATAGTCTTTGGCTCTGGGTATGCACGGCTATAGTCAATCCCGACTCTTGCGTCCTCGTTCGCGCACTCTTGACAACGTGAACAACCCATGTGCAAGATGCGGTAATCAATCCGATTGGAGCCTTGGCTCACGGGAGAGAGAGGGTCTGTTCACCAGTAGGTGCGGCTGCAAGCGGGTATCGATCTTGGAGCAAGCGGTTCGCTATATAAACATACATTCGTTAAGAAACCACCACTCTCCCAGCAAGAGCGCTGGATTTGGGACCTGCCCCTTAAAAACCACCTCTAGTTAAGAACTAACAGAAAGCCTTGGATGAGACTACCCTACGACAAACGTTTAAAGTACAACGATGTGATCGTGCTTGACGACTTCAATGCCACCGTCGAAAAACTCAACCACCACGACAAAACGTCCTATAATGGACTGAGGCTGATCAACTTCACCGGAGCCCGCAACATATTAATATGCAGTACTAGGTTCAAACATGAAAAGATCCATCAAGCTACGTGGCTGTCTCCAGATCGAAAAGCGAGAAACCAAATCTATAATTTTGTGAGAGACAGTAGACGATTATTCGCCACTCGACTCACACACCTGCTCTGTGAAAGCACTCTTCAACAAACCGACATATGCAAGCAGTGGAACCATATCTCCCATTTATTTAGTATCGCCGCCGAAAAAGTAGCCGGATTTGAGCGACCGATGCCCAGAAAGTACTTAAATTATGGAGGAAACACTTTTCCACCCTACTGAATGGTATCAGCACGGAAAGTGGCGGAGAAGGCGAAGCCGAGCACCCATCCATCGCCAGACTATGACGAGGTACGAATAGCAATTACGTTTCTGAAAAATAACAAAGCTGCTGGAGCTATCAATTGAGCTATTCAAGTACGGAGGAGGGCATTATTCGATAGCCAGCGAAGATCGAAAATCGAATGCAGCTTATAATAAGGGCCTAAGTGTGCTTTGCCCGCGCCAACTACCGCGAGATCAGCCTAGGCCATCTAAGCATAGGTTACAAGGTCTTATCGAGTGTATTGTATAAAAGACTGAAGCCCACCGTCAACGAACGGATTGAACCTTATCGGTATGGCTTTAAACCAGGCGAATCCACTATAGACCATTTGTCTATTCACAGTCGCTTTCGGCAGCACGAGAAGCAGTTGTATTTATGCCACGATGTTTGAATTTGGTATCCCCGCGAAACTAATATGGCTATGTAAAAGGACGTCGAGCAATACCACAGAATTGGAAAAGACCTCTCAGAGACGGGATTTGAGACAGGGCGACAGAGCTGCAGAAATGAACCGCTCAGGAACATTTTACTACAAGAGCGTGCAATTGCTGGGGTGTTGACAAACACCGCGAAGTCTGTTCTGCCTTTTTCCAAGTTGGATAAGGAAGCAAAGCAAATGGGTCTGGTGGTAAACAAGGACAAGACCAAGTAACTCCTCCTATCAAACAAACAGTCAGTGCATTCGCGCCTTGGCACCCACGTCATTGCTAGCAGTTATAATTTAGAGAAAGTAGATAATCTCTTTTCTTTGGGAATCAGCATTAAAACCGATAATAATGTCTGCATGGAAATCCAACGAGTAGACAATTCAGAAGTAAAATCCTCTCTCGACGTACGAAAACCACGCTCTAAATGTCACTCATCATGCCTGTGCTGGTGTATGGCGCGGAGGCATGGACAATGAAAACATCTGTTGAAGCGGCTCTTTGAGTATTCGAGATAAAGATTTTACGAGCCTTTACGCGCTGGCGACAGCGTGTACCGCAGACGATGCAACAATGAGCTGTATGAGCTTTACAACGACATGGGCATAGTGCAGCGAATTAAAATACAGCGGCTCCGCTGGCGTAGCATTGTCGTTCGAATGGACACCGACGCTCCAGCTCTGAGTGGGTCGTGATGGCAGGAACAGAGGAAGACAAAGTGGAGAAGGACCTGGCTTCACTTGGCATTTCCGATTGGCGTCAGTTGGCACAGACGACAAACGACTGGCGTGCTGTGTTGAGCTCGCCCAAAATCACTTAGGCGGTTAAAGCGCCAAAGAAGAAGAATAATAAAATTTGGTGCTTACGCATTGTTAAGTGTTAAGCCGAGCTTCTCCTACAATTTGATGTGTCCTAATGTTGTTATACAATAGATTTTATGAGAATATTTGTTATGGCGGAAATACACTCGGAGATTTAACATTGCCTGCAGAGAGGCGACCGTTGTTAGAAGAAACAGTTTTCTAATTTGACCCCTTTCAGACACGTCAAGTCTTGCTTTCAAGTCTGCTCGTTTCGTAGGCGAATGAGGTGATATGAGAGGGGGAATCGTTCCCACGACAGTCGGGTCTACGTAACCGGAACGACCCAGATTTATATCTGGCCAAGGACTGTCACTCCAGCAACACTCCCCAAATAGTCTTTGGGGAGTTTGTATGCTGTTACAACAACAACAATAAGAGAGGGGAAGACTTGACGTGTCTGAAAGGGGTCATTACTGGCTAACCAGAAAGGTGGGGATGTGGTATGTAGCATGAGCTGTCAAAAATTAAAATATTCTAAGTGCTCTAGACTGCCCACAATGTGTAGCTATGGTTGTGGTGTATTATTGCTGATGTAGCTAGCGAAATAGCTTGTCGCTGAGGTACTACATTCTGGTTAGCCAGTTAGATGCTGCTCGCACCAGGGATCGACTCCAGGTCCTACGGAGTGGTAGTACGCACCTCTAATCACTTAGCCACAGCAACGATTAAATACAATATACAGATGTTTGATATGGATAAATGAAACTTCGTAGTTGGAAAAGATTTTTATTGAGTTACAAAAATTTTAATATTGACACACACATTGGTAATATAATTTACACAACAGACACAAGCTGCGATATAAAATTGAAAATAAAAAATAATAATTCGTGTTAATAGATAAATGCACATTCTTTAAAAAAATTTAATTTCGTAAATATTTTCGTCGTTTGCAACTCCAACTGCAAAGAGTGACACGAAATGTGCAAAGCAAGTTTTTTCTTTATTTTTAAAGGCTCAAATAAAATTAAATAACACATTTTTCGCACATTTTAACTGGATAAGTGGTTTTACCCACGGCTTTGGTTAATATTTTATCGTTTTTTGTGTGCTTTATTAAAATAAACATTGTGACAAAAAGCTAGACATGGCCGTGAAGGTAAATTTTAGTACATTTTTCAGTTTCCAAAAAAGTACAAATTTTTTATTTATTCGATAAATAAATAAAACCAAAAAACAACAGATAGTTTAATTTCAATATATATATGTATATATGTGCATATCGTATGGAAAAAAAATTTCAACATACATGTTTTGGCGAAAACTTCTTTTCATACATCTTTTGAACTTTTTGATTTGTTCGATAAATAAATAAAACCAAGAAACAGTAGATAGTTTAATTTCAGTATACAAAATATGTATATATGTGCATATCGTATGGAAAAAAAATTTCAACATACATGTTTTGGTGAAAACTTCTTTTGATACATCTTTTGAACTTTTTGAAAAATAATGCACTATAACTTCACTTCCACAGAACACATTTAAGACATTTAGCTTCGTGTTTGATATATGTATGTATGTTAAACTTTTGAATATATGTATTTATAATGCTTATATGTAAATGTATGTATGCACACATAAACTTTATTTACACAACCCTTCAATATTTAATTCATGTTTTGCAGATTAAATGAGTTGCTTTTATGACAAAATTTTGCTTAATCTGAACTTATATACATACATATGTATCTGTTTAATTTAAGATAATTTAAAGTTTCCATAAATTCAACAGGCTAAATAGTTTTGCTAATCTGCCTTGTAGTTCTTGAAATAAAAATTCACTTACAATCAATTTTATTTGCAGCGAAAAAAATGCTCGCGTTGGTGAATATGTGCGAATGCATTTGTGTTTTGTTGCTACTTAAGAAAGTACAAAATACAAGTGTGTGCTTTACACGCCTTCATATATGGAGTATATTTTGAAAATTGTAAATGTTATAGTATATATACACAAAAAATGTATGCAAATCACGAAGTAGTACAGTTGCTATAGTTTCAAGCATATTTCTTTATATTTTTTGTTACTTGAATTTCGTTTATTTCTTTATTATTATTTATAATCTTCAAGAATTTGTGTTTAAGATTAGCGTCACCACTTTACTATATTTTATTAAATGCCAAATTCTTCAATTCCACATTCTAGTAGAGTATTCAAAAAAGGTCCTTGGGCTTATTGAATGTGTTAATTTCAAGGTCTATCTAAGCTTTTTGAAAATCGTTTTTTCTAAATTTATCGTTGTTATATTCCGATTGTTCTTTTGTCGCATTTTTTTAAATTTTTGGTTTAAGAATTTTGACACCTTTACCTTTTTATGCAGTTCGTGTGGGTTTTCATACATTATTGTTGTTGTTGTTTTGTAGAAGCATAGTGTTTTTTTTTTTAATTTAGCCAGCATGCACAGACTGAAATGAACAAAAAAGAACGTGTAAATAGCAAATTAAATTGATTTGTGTTTAATTGTGCTTAGAAATTTTAAGACACACATAATTTTTTAAAATTTTACCATTTTTTACTTCCGAGTTTTTATATGATTGTAAAACTTTTTATTATAGATAAATTTTAAACTTGCCAAATTTATATATATTGTAGGTTTTACCGTTTTTTTTATCATTTTCAATAAGAACTCGGCAAATTATTTTAATTTTTGGTTTCTAAAATTGTGCATCCAAGGCGAATTAATATAAGGTGATAGCAGAAGTCCAAAAACAAAAATTTGCATTAGTTTGCTTTTTGCTTTGTCAAAATCTGTAAGTGTGTGTGGAAATTCAAACAAATTTTTTCAATTTGACATTCGAAGCCGTGGGACGAAACACATTCCCAAAATCAGCTGATCTACCACCACCATCTTATATAAATTTGCGTTGACAAAGATGTGTATTTATTAGGGTGGTCCAAAAATACATGAGAAAAAGTAAAGTTGGAATTTTTATGCTCTCACCCCCTAGGATTGTTCTATACCGAGTAAAAGTATACCCCTGTTTTTTTATTTTGAAATCAAAAAATATTTAGCGGTCGCTCAAAGCGCTCAAAGTTTTCCATGTATTTTATATGGGGAAAAAACAACTTTTCGTAGAAATGGTATAGAGTTCTTAAAAATCAATATTTTTTGATCAGACAATTGGGTATTGTTATTGAAAGTCTCCTGCAGAGAACCAGAGCTTTCTGATAGAAAAATATTCATTTTCAAGAATTCTATATCATTTCTACGAAAAGTTTTTTTTTTATATAAAGATACTTGGAAGACTTTGAGCGCTTTGAGCGACCTCTATATATTTTTTAATCTCAAAATCAAAAAATAGGGGTCTACTTTTTTACGATATAGTACAATCCTAGGGGGTGGTGGCATTACAATCCCGACTTTACAGTTTTTGGACCGACCTAGGAATTATTCATGGTGTTGCTGGGATAGAAAATAGAAAATCAAAAACTTTTGTTTACTTTTAAATCAAACTAGCAATAGTATTAGATGTGTCAGTATTGCGACAAGCTCTAGAAATGCATCGTTGCTTTAATAACATAGCAATTAAGTCTTTTGATTCCACGTAGCGTTTTGAAAATAAATACTACCATTATCTGCTTTTTCTCTTTACTACTGCCCTACGCCTTTCATTGTTTGCTCTTTTAAATAAATTCAGAATTTGGACGTACCCGGGCAATGTCGACCCCAGTAATGTTCTTAACCAATTCTGGCACTTTGTTGACGATCTGCAATACTTCACCAGTCAATTTGGCAGCGCCGATCTCACCCTGTCCACTGGAAACCATGGTAATCTTCTTAGCTTGCGATAATGGCGCGGCAACCTCGGCGGCAATCTATTATATTACAGTAAATTACCGGTAAATATTACACACGTTACAACAACAAATGTGAATCACCTTAGGCAAAGTTTCCAATAACATTTCAACCATGGCTGCTTCACGGTACTCACGCCAAGCTTCGGCCTTTTGTGCCATTTGTACAGCTTCAGCTTTAGCCTTTGCTTCGATGGCAAATGCTTCAGCTTCACCACGAATTTTAATCTAAAAAGAAATCATAAAGTTAAAAAAACAAATACTATTTTAACCGAAAACTGCCAACATGCATTTAACTACATAGCATACCGATTCAGCTTCTGCTTCTGCTTCCATAACGACGCGCATTTTATTTGCTTCAGCTATTTTTTCCAAACGGAATTTCTCAGCTTCAGCTGGTCGACGTACAGTAGCCTCTAACTCCTTCTCGCGACGCTGTATTTCCTGCTCTTGTACGGCGATTTCCTGAGTACGTTCAATTACTTTCACTTGCATTTGTTCCTCCTTGATACGTTGTTTGGTTTTTGCCGCCTGCAGCTCATAAGCCATTTCCGCTTCGGCTTTCTTCGTTTGCACCTCCACATCGTAGGCGGCTTTCTTCAATTCGAAATCACGTTGTGCCTTGGCGATTTCGGTGTCGTTGAGAAAACGCGAAGCCATACGTTGCTCCTCAGCGATGGCCTCTTTAATTTGTGCATCACAACGCGCCTCAGCTTCACCGATGCGAGCATCGCGTTTAACCTCAGCAGTGCGAGCCATGCCCAAAGATCTAAGATATCCCTGAAACATATTAAGATATAACACATATGAATTTATTAGTAGCTTCATTAGCTAATAACAATAAGTGTTATTGTGGATGTAATCAAGGCAAGGATGTAACAAAGTATGCGGGGTCACAAAAGGTAAATATACACTTTTACGTATTTACAAGGATGCATTGTTTGATTGAGAGTTAGTTAAGTATACATTTTTAAAACATCTTGCAAGTGTTTTTTTTCCACATGTTCAGTACTTCAAATAACGGATAATCACGTATCAATATAACAATGAAAACGTAGAACATGTATTAGCTCTGATCCAGTACTCCATGAACTTACAGGATTTTACACGAACTTGCAGGAAGTTACAGGAAAATTGTTCCCGTACTCCAAAATCCTCCAAAATCCTGTAAATGAGAGCGACTTTTGGAGAGTTGTGTAGAGAATGAAGTTGCAAGATTTTACCCGAACTTTTTCTTCTGGTAAAATCATGAAAAGTGTCAAGCAATCACTGGTTGACGTTTTTACAGGAAAAATTGATTTTTTGTTCCCGTACTTTTTGTTGTTACTCACTTTTTACTCTCACTTCAGACAGTAATTTTGCTGTTTGACAGTTTTACAGGATTTTTCACGAAAAGTATTGGATCAGAGCTATTATCATGTAATTTTAATGGTCAATGAAAAACTTTTAAAATACAATTCCAGAACAAAGTCAGTGCAAATTACTTAATTGTAAATAGTTCTGATGTGGATTTAGATTTTCATTTTCAGTTATAAATTCTTAACAATTAATTGTTTAAAAATGCGAAGGCATTAAAAGTCAAAATTTTGTTACACATACAACATACATGCATACATATTTATATACATATATATACATTGCATACATACATATATATGAATGTATATATACATTGCATGTACACAATAAGTGTAAAAATCTGTACATATGTATATACATTAGTATTTTTGTATTATTTTTTTAAGTTTTTTTTTTCATGTATGAACATGAATACAAAACTATGCTAATACATTTTTTATAGTTTTACATATTAAACGTACCTTTGAATCACCCTTCATCACAAATAACGTAATTTGTAAAAACCACATTAAGTACGCATTCACCATTCCGAAAAAAGAAGAGATTATTTAGAGCTGAAAGTCATTCAAACTAACTACTCACAAATAATTTCAATCATGAAAGTGAAAGGAAATTTTTGCTGATTGAATTAATAATTTACATAAAATATACTTATGCAAAAAAATAGCAACTTACTTAGAAATTAAAATGATTAAAAAATGACGTTAAAATAAAAAAAATGACATTAAAATAAACAAAATAAAATAGAACAAAACTAAGAAAAGCAACTTAAAAGAAAAGAAGGAAAATATACGCAAATTATAAAGTTAAGTAAATAGGTTTAAACATTTGCATATAAAATTGAAAAAAGTGCGATTAGTACAAACGATATGAGTATGTATGAATATACTACAGTTGCTGATATTTGATTTCGAAAAAAAAAAACAAAAGGATGCGGAAATAAATATTATTTAGTTTCGAGTAAATTTTTATCTAGTAAATGTTAATGTACATATGTTACCTAATGCTATTAAGTACATATTTAAAAACTCACTTCTTCATCACGGAGATCTTTAATGGTGTACGAGACAACGGTTATGCCCATGTTGGCCAAGTCGGACGAAGCCACTTCGAATACTTGTTTACTGAATTTTTTGCGATCTTTATAAATCTCCTCAACCGTCATGGAGCCCATAATGGCACGCTGATGTCCTTCTAGCGTAACCAATGCGATATGCTGTATTTCAGATTCGCCTTTACCGAGAAATTGTTCGCATGCGGTCAATAACATATCTTCATTTTGACCCTGAATCTTTACTTGTGCAATGCCAGTTACCGAAATGGGAACGCCCTGACTAGTATAAACACAGGGACTCTCCACTTGCAAAGTCATAGTGTTAAGGGAAATTCTATGAAGAAGATATTATTTAAAATATTGTTGAACTTCGGAGTTGAAAACCAAAAACTTACCTTTGTACGCGCTGTATGGTAGGCCATACAAAAGCTCGACCGCCAGGCACCAACAGTGGCTTCATATGGCAGCATCCTGTGCGGAAGATATGAATGTATGTGAGTACGTAAATACATATAGGTATAATTGTTATAATTTAAATTAGTTATGTAAATATTTTAATACACACATCGATAAAAATATACGTAGGCACATGTAAATATTTAATATACATAAATCGTAGTTTAAAGTACAAAACCGCGTATCGTCATTCTGCAAAGCCGCGTAA